GTGCTTGACTTTATACACCTGTGGCAAGAGGTCACACCTTGAAACACCTTAATTCAAGAATTAACAGGTAAGGCCAAATATAAATATATATACTTGTCATAGTAGGAAAAGCACAGGTGTTGCTAACATTTGCCGATTGTGACAGTGAGGAAGCATGAACAGCTCCAGGACCCTGAAACTGAAATAGCTAAATGGAATTCAACCATCATTAATTTTTATTATTCACACCTGTGCTTTTCCTGCTGTGACATGCCACAAATAGTCCTGTCTGTGCAGCCTTATAGCTGAGCACTAAGCCCACTAGAGAAAGGTTATTTGGTTATCTTAATAGGAACAAGAGGGAACTGTTAGTATTCGTTCATTGTTGAGGGCTATCACATTGCTAATAAAGGTACACATGTACATGGCATATTGGTCTTGCAGGTCTTTAAACAGAGGGAACCGCAGCATATTCCTCTATTGTCTTCTGTTTTTATATATTTATTTATATAGTTTTTTTGCACTTGGCAGATTTGATTCTGTAAAAAAATGTCTCTCACAGCAGTTAGGTGCACTATCAAGTGGAAGTATCTCACTAGTAGTTCAGTTTAACGGCGAATGAAGGAAATCACGCACACACAATAAGACAATCTGCCCACTGCACCTCTTCTCCATCTCGTTTAACCAGACATTAATCAGAGTGCTTTATTTAGCCGCTGCACAGGAACCAAAACAACTGTCACCTTCACGTTTGGTTAAATCTAATGAGAATGTCTTCTTGTTTGCAGCTCTTTTTTTGACCGAGAGCTTAGCTGGTACTTACTGTGGTTTCCTGTTGTTGTTCTTTCTTTCTTTCCTTTTTGTGGTATGCACATACAAAACATGCAGACACAAACTAGATGTTAGCATGTCTGTGTTTCACTAAAGTAGGGTCTCAATTTGTTTATTGCTGTACTAACAGTTTAAATGTTGTATTGCTGTCTATCAGTTTTTATTGCTTCACTTTAGCGTACAACCTCACAGCCAATGCTTTTACATAATTTCAGACTGATTTGATTAACGGGGCTATGTCAGCCCCATTGCAAATGTTTGTCAGGGTAGAATACAGACAGTAAAAGTTGATGACAGATGATATTAAATTCTATGTTGTGACCTGCAACAGAAATATGCATCCATATGCATCAATCAAACATCTCACCATGTATTGGGTTTGCTTCTATTCATTGAGTAGGTCACTACTGAATAGCTAAGCCAAAAATTAAGAAATTTTAATATAACTGGGTCAGTTTTAGTTTTTGTATATAATTTGTCCTTTTTAATTATCTGTCAGTGTTTACAAGGAATATATTATGAGAAGAACAGAGAACTAGTCAAACACTGAGACAACAGTGACACTGTTAAACCTTTGGGAACAGAAACACTGCAGACTACAACCTGTGGGAGGCAGCAGAAAGAACAGTATAAACTAGACACTATTTAACACAGTCCAGCAGTTATCATCAGTAACATTTCACCATGGCTATTTCTAAAACTAAAAGATAATCTACAAATATTAGAAAAGAGAAGAGATTGGTCCGCCAGCAACGTTGATATTGGGAGATGGGCTCAAGAATATTTGCTTAAAAATTATTATAACTATTTAAATGTATTTACAGATGGATCAAAACATGAAAATAATGATCATGTTGGTGTGGGAATATATATTCCAGAGCTCAATAAGAGCATTGCTAAAATACAGACAGGTTATCAGTATACACAGCACTAATGAATAATCATCAGTCTTCAGTGGATAGAGGAGGTCAAACCAATCAAAGTAGTAATATGTTCAGATTCAGCAGCCGTACTTAAAAGCATACAGTCAGGAAAAACAATTAGAAATGATTTAATAATAGAAATATACAGGATTTTATTAAACCTACAACAGCTATGTATTGATGTTAATTTTTGTTGGATACCAGTGCAAGTTGGAATAGAGGGAAACAAAGTTGCTAATAAACTTGATAAAATTTGATTAAACAAAAACGATAGTGGTATTTTAGAAATATGTTTTGGAAGGTCAGAGGTAAAATCAATAATTCAGCAGGGAATAGTAGAAAAATATATGGAATAATGACTTCAAGGGGTAGGGATTATTATACAATTCAAACATCAGAAGTAAGAAAAGTAAAAGCAGAAAAGAAGAAGTAATTCTAACAAGGTTAAGAGTAGGTCATACAATGTTAAACAGGTCTAATAAACAGAATATAATTCCAATAGAGTCATGATATTTACACACTCCGGTACAGTAGGTGGCGGCCTACAACTTTGGTTTGTAGCCTGATTACGAATTTTGGCGCGAGTGGACAGGAGCGAGCGCCCCAGCTGTCTGAGCAGGATGTGGAGAAATGAAGTTTTAACCGGTAATAAAAAGATATATTTGTTTATAACGTTGAACTCTGAGCTGAGCAGGTTGTTACTGTGAACAATGGACGCACTGAAAACACAGACGGTGGATCTCTTCTTTTAGGGTCAGTAACATGTTTGCTACTATCTTCAGCACAGTCTTTATTTATTTATTTATTTATTTAGTTATTTATTTAGTTAGTTATTTATTTATTTAGTTATTTATTTAGTTATTTATTTATGTATTTATTTAGCATGTGACTGTTTCTGTGTAGTTCCTGTCATTTCTGATGGTTGGTGACAGCAGCAGAAACTACAATATAACTGTTTTTAAATTGTATTTTCATGTTCAGACTCGTCAGAGGAAACTAACTGAACACACGTGATTAAGTTTTATTTATTTACAGCTGTGTGAAGGCTGCTGTCGCTTGACAACCAGGGGCGTTTACATATTTATTTGACCTGGGGTTGCACAAAGGGGGGGTCGCTGATTTATGCCGGGGTGGCTTGAAGTATGTGTCTCAAGCTTTCCAGTCATTCACAATTTATGC